CTAATTAATTTAGGATTCCGGGCCAGTGACATGCTGGCCCGGCCATTTTCGAATTTGATCCTAATATGTATACCATCATTTAGTACCTATTTCGTACTATTTTGTACCTCCATTAATATAATTTGTACCTCAAAGAAAACCAAGCTACGGGCCCGTTAACTGTACAGGTCAATGACCCCTCAGCCCGGCCATATCGTGACCTATGGTTATAAGCTATACTACTATTTAGTACCTATTTCGTACTATTTTGTACCCCCGTTAAAATAATTTGTACCTCAAAGAAAACCAAGCTACGGGCCCGTTAACTGAACAGATCCATGGCCCCTCAGCCCGGCCATATCGGAACCTATGTTTATAAGCTATACTACTATTTAGTACTTATTTCGTACTATTTTGTACCTCCATCAATATAATTTGTACTTAAAAAAAAACTACTAAAAAAACTGAAGGACATATAATTTTGAAAACTAGGGAATGTTGAAGCCATAATTTTAGTTTAGGGTTTCAGTTTTTTAGAAGATAAGTTTAAAATTGTAAAAAGTCTAGCAGCCGACGCTAACATTCTACATTCTAGAAATATTGATATTACTTCAGTTTTAGTTGACTACTAAATTCCCGTACGTAGGACGGGCCAACAGCTCGTTAAGTTTTACAACATAAATTAATTAAGAAAAAAGAAAGAAAAAATTAACAAAGTTGTGAACTTAATGTTGAATGAAATAAAAAAATCACCACAGTACCCTGGCACCAAAATAGCCTAAACCTCGACACATTGATTACTTGGGTTGTGAGTAGTACATATTGTTTAATATGAAGAACTAAATAGTTGGAGATAACCACCAAATAACTGCATCACTTGTTAATTATTAAGTACTAAATAATAGCATACCTTATAACTAGAAACTGTGACATGGCCGGGCTGAGGGGTAATTAACCACTAACAATAACATGATTACACATACAATATGTAACATAAGTAGTTTGCTTATCTTTGAGGTATTTTTTTTTTTACCTCGAAAGGTACAAAAAAGTACGAACAAGGTACTAAATAGTAGCATAGCTTATAACTAACTACAGGTTCCGATATGGCCGGGCTGAGGGGTCATGTACAGTTAACGGGCCCGTAGCTTGGTTATCTTTGAAGTACAAATTATATTAATGGAGGTACAAAATAGTACGAAATAAGTACTAAATAGTAGTATAGCTTATAACCATAGGTTCCGACATGGCCGGGCTGAGGGGTCATTGACCTGTACAGTTAACGGGCCCGTAGCTTGGTTTTCTTTGAGGTACAAATTATATTAATGGAGGTACAAAATAGTACGAAATAAGTACTAAATAGTAGTATAGCTTATAACCATAGGTTCCGATATGGCCGGGCTGAGGGGTCATTGACCTGTACAGTTAACGGGCCCGTAGCTTGGTTTTCTTTGAGGTACAAATTATATTAATGAAGGTACAAAATAGTACGAAATAGGTACTAAATGATGGTATACATATTAGGATCAAGTTCGAAAATGGCCGGGCCAGCATGTCACTGGCCCGGAATCATAAATTAATTAGTTATCCGGTACCAAGTGGGGTACTAATTTTTTGTTTGTTGGTACTAAATAGTACGAAATAGGTACTAAATATTAGCATAATTCTTATGTACCAATTCCGTCATGGCCGGGCCAGTGACATGGACGTGTTTAAAACCATTCTATTAAATGAAACCTATGATTTACACCTAATATTTATTTATTTCTCTCTCATCTGATAAACCATTTTACAAAAAATACATGGATAAGTTAGGCCTATTGGCTATAGACATGTTTGTTTCTGATACATCACAAAAGCGCTGTAACTTATATAACAACAAATATGCAATAACTTAAGCTATGCCTAAATATTACAATAACAGGAATATAAGTTATATAGATTTGAACGTAATAACAATTTATAATAAATAACAACAAATTTTGGCTGGATACAAGTAAATGAGAGTGCAAAGTTACAATCTCAGGTATTGACAATAAAGAACTGAGAAAAGGTACTGTATCATTAAAAGGGTCAGCCACCTGATGATTAGGTATACTTAGTGCCTGACCTGAGAAATAGTAAGACGAATTGGTATGTCAATCTAATCTGGTAATCAATGTAACAAATGCAATGACATAAAATTATACACAAAATAAGAGTTGGTTGACTAAGGTAATTTACAGAGTTAGAAATGGTTGCTAGGCCTATAAAGACATTGGGTTTAGCCAAGTGTGTTTTTTTAACTTACCTAGGCCTACAAATGCCTGGTTCTAAGACTAAACAGCAAAGCAATGGCAATGACAGGAATAGAATTGAGTAAATTGTCACTGAACAGGTGGAGTTTTGGCATATTTCCAAAAAGTATGCCAAAATATCATGATTGTGGCAAAACATCAAATCAACCTGTAAGTTTGTAGATACCGGTAATGGTTACAAGGTTAGAATATAATTGATCAACTAGGTATTCCAGGTCGGGGTTGATTTCTGAACTAAAAAATGTAAAACTAAGTTGACATTGCATTAAGATATCTAAATAATGTTATATTAAAAATTCAATTGTTCTGACCTGCTGAATTATCCTTTTTAAAATCATAACAAGCATAATTGGATTGTTTATTGTTTGACATTAACGAACATATGATGGATGGCAATAGCGTCTGCTACTGCTTATAATCTTTTTTCCTACTGATTTCTTAGCAGACTATTGTGGAGTGGAGTGATGAACGCTAATGATAGTTTCATATATATAATGATCATTGATTAAATAGCACCACAAGTCATACCACAAATAAATCATTGTGGTGGGTATTATCATTCTTTCAGTAGCAAGCAAATTCATGTCCTATCATGATTGTGACAAAAGATTAAACAAAAAGATTAAACTAACTCACCATCACCAACAATGAACTTCAAACAAAGAAAAGATTAAACATACTCCCTCAGTATAGATTGGTAATCCTTATCAATCACAATTAATTAAAGACAATTAAATAATGTTAATTTCTTCATAGATTAACCAGTAATTTGCTTAAACTATGGGGTCAACCAATGCCTCTAGAAGCATTTTTCTGCTTTTCAATAGTAGGTTTAGCCATAGATAAAACATACTCCTCAAGAGGAGTATGTTTTATCTGCGGCGTTTAGGGGGGGGGGCAGTTGCCCCCCCACTTTCATAAGGAATATTTATCAAATTTATAAAATAGAATTATATCAACAATAAATCTAGATTTCGCCCCCCCCCCCCCCCCACCACTCAAGCCCAATCGCCGCCACTGGGTTTAGCCAAATAAAACGATGCAATCGCTCGTCCTCTGGTTTTAAAACCGAAAAGTATAGCACAAAATATCCCTAAAATAAAGGTACCGGTAACCATAGAAAGGTAAGGACAGCGAGGAAACATTCAATGGTGAATTGGCATTCAAGTGGTATCTCTAACATCAATACAACAGAGCTCTTTAATAATATTATGTTAGTCGTGATAACATGTACAAATATTACTTTTTTTACTCTAAATGGAAATTTCCATGGTTATTTATTTAAATGTTATTTACATTATGATATTTGTATTTAGGATGTCTTTTACAAATTATCCTTAAAAATAAGATGAATTCGTGACTGATTTAACACCAAAATGCTTTTCTTTATTGCTTAAATTAGTACTTTTTATCGCACTCTTATTGTAGGCTTTTTACGCAACAGTTTTATAACAACAAAGATGATAACAATCCCCTTAACATTGGTGGAAGCACAAGTCAGGTTCAATCGACTAAAAGTTAACAAGTAAAAGGTTTTAGGACATACAGCATGCAAAATAAGTAATAATGGCACACAATTATCAATTATCACTTAAATGAAATGAAATGCTTTATTTCCGTGAACATGACACATATGGAAAAAGTCAAATAAACTAATACTTTTTTTAAGAGGTTGGCGGCCTCTTTTAACCTTGCATTTGCCCGACCACATATACTACGCTCGTACGTGGAACTGGAACGTTTACAGCCACGGCCGCCTTTAACTCCAGGCCGCGGCCTTCGAACTGGCATCGTTGCAAGTGGTGTTGTAACAGCTGATTTTTTTAAAGCAACTAATGGTATTTTTTTATTTACGAAAGATTGATTACTGGACTATGACAATATTGACTCCGCTTAAAAATGTACAGATATAGATTTTAATTCATATTGTTTCAACTTTCAATTCTGTACCCATGTTTTATTTTCAATATTTTAATAAATTTATGTTCATAAATTAAAAATTAAATCAATAAAGTGCGAATTAATGAACTGATGTCACCTGTCTGCCATGTTATCTTATGGGACGTCTGTCACTGAACAACACCACTTGCGATGTTGCCAATTCTACCAGGCCGCGGCCTGTAGTTAAAGGCGGCCGTGTTACAGCAAAGCAAGGAGTGAGCCGGTGCAGTACGAAGGTGAAATGTACTGATAAATGTTAGTGGCACTAGTCACCAGGATCCGAACCCACGACATCGCTGCCTTGGGCCCGAAGTCCGTGACGCTACCGACTGAGCCAACAACAACTCAAATAAAACAACTTAACACACAAAACGTATGCACGCAATTTAAACTCAACGTATGCAAACAAAATATTATATATTAAAATAAGACGATAAGAGGTTTAAGTGAGTATATTTAATCTATGGTAATACGCGCCAACGAAAATTAAGACCAGAAATCAAGGCAGCCGTGCTTGTTGTTTTGTTACTGTACATTCATTGTTTAATACTCAAGTCATAAGTATGTCTGTTAGAGAGGTGCTCACTATTAAAAATTATCTTAATATATAGTAAAAACGTATCGAACGTATAAGTCAGTCCAAATCATAAAAATTATCATAGTTAGATTTTTTTGCCAGGAAAAATTAACCATTTAATGCACTGCAACCCATAGTGCCACGTTTGACTTTGGCCTACGATAGCAACCCAATCAGCATTCAACACGAGTTGACGTTGTGGTTGTCGTTGCCACGTTCTGTCAGACAAGCACAGCGCTACACTCATCTCTTCCCATTTCGGCGTCAGAGTTTTTTGCCGGCGGTCGTTTCGTTGGTAGTTAACTGTTCGCTTCATCTCATCATCATGGTGTTAAGGGTTGTTACTCTTGTTGTTTTATGTTTAATTGGAAACATTTATGCAGAAATAACAGAAGATGAAGGAGTTCTAGTTCTGACTAAAGCTAATTTCCAACAGGCCCTTTCGGAGAATGAGTTTCTGCTGGTGGAATTTTGTAAGTAGGCCTAGTTTCTCTTTTTATCTTAAAAGGATGTTGTCTAGTCTATTAATTTTATACCAAGGGATTCGCCCAGTTGTCCATCAATTATTTTGTGTGATCAAAGATTTTAAAATTGAAGTGGTGCAAATAGGGCCTAACTTAGGCTTAGAACTGATTTCATGGACTGGCTTCTTTGAAATAATTAACAAAGAAACTTAACTTAGAGACTTAGGACATCTAGATCAGAAAAACTCAACAGGTTCTTACTAGTACAAGTACAGTAACTTAGACTCCCTCGGCCTCCGGATAACGGTTATTCTGGTTAAACCGACATCCTCAAAATCTCGTTAAAACAGACCGTTTAAATGCATACTCTATACAGTAGGCTAGAGTATTTGACTTAAAATTAAGAGAGCATTGTATTTAGACACACTGGTCTCAAATCTTTCACGAGTACAGTTACCGGTATTCCAGTACCGCCCACTTCCTGTCCATCCAGTCCGGTTAACCGATGTGCTGATAAAAATTATGCGGATAAAGAGATGTCACTTCTACCTAGTGTAGTCCGGTTAAACCGATGTCCTGTTAAAAGGTGTCCGCTTAAGAGGGAGTCTAGGCCTTCTGTAGGCTATATGAAATGAGATTTCATTTTCCTTTAAGCACGGTACAGTACAAATGCAATGGGCATCGTCAAAATATATAGGTAGCCTTAACTTAGGCTAATTGTCAATATAGCCTAACTAATGTGATGTGAAAATTAAAAAGGGGCCTCTTGTCGGCAATGCAACATTTTGGTAAGGTCAAAATAATTGAATAAGTATTTGGTTTTTTTTACTAATTGTTATAGGTACCTCACTTAACATCCTAACTTAACAGGACAGTAAGTTATCGGTTAAAATATCAAATTGAAGATGTAATAGGTCAAAATTATTCATTTTTCTAGCCTCTGCATGGTCTGAGAATAGGGACCTCTTGTCACTCAATGTTATTTCGCCATAACAACAAGCGGTCTCAAATTTCTAATAGGCTATTCACTTTATACTTAAACAGACTTAAGTTCAAAAAATGGATTGTCCTGCATTCTACAGAGAAATAGCCTACAACAAATTCAGTTTAAGGAGAACAAAATATCTCATAAATTTTGCGGTCCCTACAAGAGTTACGGTATCTTTTCTTATCTTATGGAGAAATAGCATATGGCCGAAAAGAGGTCCCTTTTCTGAAGTGCGAGTTTTACGACATGCTTCGATAAAACAAATAGCCTAACTTAGGCTATTTAAATGAAAACTAAGTTACCATGATTTAAGACAAAAATTGGCATTGCCTCTAAAGAGGACATTAACTTATCAGTTTTTTTTATACCAAATATGTTTTTTATAAATAAAAAAAACTTTTTATGCACATTTGAAATTTTCACAATAGGCCTAGGCCTAGTTTTTCTCATGAAATGACTTTTTTCCATAACAAAATTTTGAAGTCCTATAAGTTAACTTTAACAAAAAAAATCTTAACCCTAGATAAGGAATGCAAATATAGCATAACTCAAAATCAAAAATTCCCGACAAGAGGTCCCGCTTTCCACATCACATATAGGCTACAATCACTAAGTTAAAAACTTAACCTAAGTTAAGAAAACCCAAGCAAACACAGTAGGCCTACGCTAAATAGGCTTAAGGCCTGTACTCAAATATTGCTCGAATGTCAGGTAGTTCTACTACTGATTGCTGATTTTGAAAAAAAATAAAAAAAAAGTTTTAAGTTAGGGAATAGAAAGTCTTTTGTATGGCATTTAAGCTGGTGGAACGTTTTCCTCACACTAATCGTGCCTTTAAGCACAGAAAACGTACTACTATAACCCAGAATGCCAACCGCATGGTAAAAAGCGCTGTACAAGTACAGTAACTTAGACTCCCTCGGCCTCCGGATAACGGTTAATCCGTAGGCAGCGCCACCAGCGTTGCCATGCAATAGCATAGCAACGCTGGTGGCGCTGCCTACGGATTGACAGGCAAAGCTCTCTCAAACCGCTTAATGCTTTTTACCATGCGGTTGGCATTCTGGGTTATAGTAGTACGTTTTCTGTGCTTTAAGCTGGCGGTTACAAGAGTCCGGTCCATGGAGGTTACTTGCCTCTAAGTTTAACTTACGGTTACCGGTACCTGAGGCTAACTTAACTGGCTTTGTGTTTAAACACGGCTCTATTGTCATTAGGCCCAACAGGCTTATCAAGATATCCCTCAGTGGGTATGAGAATCACTAAAACTTAGGCCCCAGAAACGTCAGAGATCTATAATATGTATATTATACAGATTGGGTTGATAGCCTAGGTACATTTTTTAACCTAGGCTTATAGTTGCATTTGAATTGATCACTCGGTTGACACCAATGACATTTATCCTTTTACTTCATCTACTATGGCTGAACTGTTGCTTAACTCCCCTCATTTAGTCTTGACTTCTTCCCCTAATATCGAATGAAAATATTGATTGCCTTTTTTTCTGTCATAGCCTAAGATTGAATTTCGAAATGTTAAGTTACAGCAAGTTTGGTTAGGTTAGTTTAGAACAGTGTTCTAGGCTATAATTGATCTATATATATATATATAATTGATCCATAGACTAGGCCTAACTTAACTGTACAAAATATTGTTTGTTAATCCCTCTATCAGATTAGCTTACCTACATTTTAGTAGACAGGCTGACTTGATTTTCAAAATGTGTATTTGTAGATGCACCATGGTGTGGTCACTGTAAAGCACTGGCCCCCGAGTACGTCAAAGCTGCTGAAAGCTTGAAGAAGGCTGGTTCACCGATAAGACTAGCCAAGGTTGACGCCACCCAAGAGCCTGAACTGTCCGAAGAGCATGGAGTGAGAGGTTATCCAACTCTCAAGTTCTTCAAGAATAGCAACCCTGTCCCATACAGCGGTAAGTAAGCTTGCGTGATTATTTTTTATAAATTAGTAAAACCTTAGGCTTTGGGTTTTAAATTATGCCAACCTACCTAAAGTAGACCTACTTGAACATTTCTTAATGGAGACACAGTAACTTATGTTCGATTTAGGCTAGTTTGGTTTCCCATTAACTTATTCAATTTAACGGTCCTGCTATTTTCAGAGTAAGGAGGGGAAATCCGATAAGCTACCTACCTAAATAACAACCCTTGAATTTTTATTTGGAAGACACAAGTTTAAAATGATTTTAGTTAGTTTTGTCTGTGCCTTTGGAAAATTTTCAGGTGAATTGTAGTTTCAGGTGATATCAAGATATTGAATCCCATGGCCACCTATTTTATAACTATTATTGAGTTTTGTCATCTCAAACAATAAAAATGATAACATTTTAAAACCCTAAATATAATTACTAAAATGCTTAAATCTTTGTAAGTTTATCAAACAAAAAAGCACTTTAGGCTAGGCCCTTAGAATTTAAAAACCTACCACTACAGTACCATGATTTATTCCCACTTTTTATAAACCAGTAACTCATGTGGTTTTGTTAATTCAACACTTGTGCACACAGAACAAAAAATCTCTGATTTTGTAGTATTTGTTATTGCATTTTTCACTAAGTTATCAGCCTTAGGCCTATTTCTGATGCTTGCAACTTCCTGTGTTAAATTTTTGTAAGATCTCAAGCTAATTTTGCATTTGTATGGGAAGACACCCATTTTCAGGGACTTGAATATATTTTAACACCCCCTTGAAGTGTGTGGAAGTAAGTAGGCATAGGCTATATCATTGTTGTAGTGTGGACTCTCAAGCACCTTCTAAAGTGACTACTACTGTAGTATTTTGAAGCCATTGAATGTTTTTTGTTTCATTGTGTTACAAAAGTGTTTTTTAAATAAATTTGAACATATATAGTAAACCTCTGGAGTTTGCCTCTAAGCTGCACGAGACAACATTCCACTTACTTGCATCATTTGTGAACAGAATTGGGCCTTTTGCATCTCTGTAGCAATTTCTACTTGTTAGCTGTGTGTTTAGAAAATGTTAAAAATTATTAAATCTCCCGCTGCTTGCAAGAAGGTTAGTCATAGGCCTACATTTTTACTTTCTCTCCATATACATAGTAGCCTATAAGGAGAAAGTATTTTTTTGTCAAAAATTAAGAGTGGATATATATCTGTTTTAACCCACCCCCCCCCCCCCAAACCCAAAAAAGTGATTTTCGAAGTGATCTGTGTGTGTGGATGTGTGCAGAGCTACAGACCAGACCAGTTTTTATGAAATTTGGTTTTTAACTTAGGTGTTAAATCGATGGTATCTCCAGGTGTTTTAATTTTTTTTTTAATTTTGATTTTTTATGGTGATTTGATTTTCCATGTCATGTTAATGTTCCCATGTAGTTTCCCTATAGAGAAGTAGCTAGGCCAGTTACCGTAGGTGTGATATTATATACATTATAGGCTTATGGAAAGTAAATAAAAGAAACGTCTTATAACACTTAAAACATATATTTACGCTTATACTGTTACTCACAAGACGGTAAATATACAAAAAAGATGGTAAGTGGTAATGTTCAATCATTCGCCTATTGGGTCTGATGATGATTGGAGTGTCCAATTGAAATCGATCACCACTTACCATCTTTTTTGTATATTTACCGTCTTGTGAGTAACAGTATGAGCATAAATATATGTTTTAAGTGTTATAAGACGTTTCTTTTATTTACTGTCCGTAAATTTAATAACACGTACAATGCTGATCAAGAAGTTATTATAGGCTTATAACAATTTGAACGAATAGTGTTTTTGGCCTATGATGACATCAAAATGAAAAAGTAAATCGGCCCCGGGCCTAGGACCTTGGTCTTAAGGTGGTTTCACACTGGCGTCCACGGACGATAATTTTGTCCGCGGACGGATGAAATGATTCGGATGGATGCTACGTGTCCCCTTCACATTGCGAGCTACGTTTCAAACGTCCACTCATTCGCGCATGCGCATAGGGAAGTTGGCCATTCCTACTACAATCATAGATTAAACATACTTCCTCTTACAACTCAGTGAAGGTGTGCAAAATGTCTGAGCCTTCTGTCCCATGGTGTCAACCCGGATTTTCTGTTCCGTGGCTTGATTCAAGTACAGTAGTGATGATAGTGACGACGAGGTTGAACTATTGTACTCATTATCAAAAATGAGAAAGTGGGTTTATCCGATTAACAGCAAGCGGTAGCGATTTTGTGAATTCCATCACCTAATGAACGATCTGGAGCAAGATGAAGACAGATTCTCAACATACTTTAGATTAACGCCCAATCAGTTTGAAGAGGTGTAGAAAATGATGGATGGTGAAATAAAGAAAACCGAGAAAACTCTAGAATTCCAATGAGCGACTTTTTATTGATGATTTTTTTATCTATTACTTACTTACTTACTCTTACTCCCAGGGCCATTTATATCGGAGGTGATATTTGGCCGCACCAACAAATCTTTGCCAAGTTAACCGGTCTTTCGCATCATCCTCCGTTGCCCCAATTCTCTCCAAATCTTCTTGCACTTGCTTCCACCACCTCTGCTTAGGTCTTCCCCGGGGTTGTCTTCCTGTAGTGTTTCCCTTTAAAACTCTTCCCAGTCTACAATCTTCATCTCTTCTTAATATATGACCAGCCCATCTGATTCTTCGGCACTTGATTTCTCCAATTACATCTGTGCTATTATACAGTTGCCTTAATTCCCTATTGTGTCTTATTCTCCATTCTCCTAGCTCGAATATTGGTCCAAAAATCTTCCTTAAAATTTTATTTTCGAATACTATTAGTTTCTTTTCATCTCTTTTATTTAATTTCCAGGTTTCTGATCCATATAGGAGAACTGGGCAAATTATTGTTTTGTACAGCCTGATTTTTGTTTTCCGGGACAAAGATTTTGATGAAAGTAATTTATTGCAAGCATGAAAACATTTATTTGCTGAATTTATTCGGCTTTGGATTTCTAGTTCATCAGTATTTTGGTTGGATATAATTACTCCTAGGTATTTAAAACTGTTGACTTTTTCAAATGTATGGCCATCAATTTCTATTGGTTCTTCAGTATTATCCAGGTATCTTGAAAAGTGCATTTTTTATCTATTATTTGGGATTATTTGGGACATTTAAATAAATGTACCGAGCAATGGTAATATGGAAAAGCAATCTCACATTGTCTCATGTGCTTAAGGGTGGGCACGATTTTTCGTATATATATATAATACTATACATCAATGCAGTTTCAGCTGTGGAATCAATTAATTGATAGGTCGTCATATTAACGATATTTTGAAACATCATAATTGTTGGAAAAACCATGAGAGTAAAACTTATTAAGTTACAAAAAATTGTTTGATAATGAAATAGAAATCATTGAAATAAAAAAAATATATACCAACATACCCTTTAACAAACATTATATAATTACTGAAAAATATTAAATAGGCAACAAGTAGTAGTAGCACAGTACGATAGTTTTAGGTTAGAGGGTGCTGCAGGTAGCGGATTAATTCCTTCCCCAATGGGTTAAAATCCCACACATTATTATTGTTCCCCGTAGCAACTGATTTTTCACTTAAATACTGATTAAAATTCATGTATTTAAATTGGAAATGAATCTGACAATTTTAAGGGAATATTTTGAGGGGATATTTATCCAGCCAGGTAAATGGAAATTTGCCTAGTCTGCAGGTTTGCTGCGATTTCAAGGCGCTCATGATTACAAATAACGCCTAGGGCTCTATAGGTGTAGTTAATTACTAGTGGTGTGACGATTAATCATTGTCTTATATTTATAGTAGGCCCTACAATGTAGATGAACATAAGTAACTTGATTTTGCTATTCTAAAACTGTGATTGTGATTAGCTACACCACTTCATACTCGAAATTAGAATAGCACCAGGTAGGCTACAAAAAGTTTTCAAAAATGAATTCAATTTAACATTTCTGTGTAAGCTTAATACATGTAACTACATTTACGAATGCGAGATACTAGTATGTATGTAACATTACAAGTTTGTTGTCAGTTATGTTCTATTTGTGTTCTGCACATGTGGTGTGGATATTAACACCTGTGCAGGTGTACTCTGCCATGTTTTACGACATGGTGTTGATGTGTCCCCATTATACAACTCATTATTGCAACTCATACCACATTCATACTCGTTACAATACTCATCGCGCTAGCTTAATGTCTAGTTAGATACTTTAAATAAAAGGTTGTTAAAAATTACTTAAATTAATAAATTGTAAAATGTAGTACGCCTAATTGTTAACAATACCTGTAGGCCATTTTGTATTTATTTGTGCTGGCTAAAAATAGTTTATTGAAATTAAAGACGTTGAAGGTTGAGAGGCTGTCCATAAATATGGTAATATCCTAAATTGTATTAGTTTCTAAAAATATTTTATAATTTTAATTTTTCTCATTTTATAAAAAAAAATTTAGATGGTTGAAGAAGACGTCAGTAACTTAAATTTTTGTTGTGTAAATCTGTTTTTCACTGTTTAACTTATCAATGTGTTAATAAAGAAATGCTGATTACAACCATAGAATAAACATTGTTGATAATGATGTATTTGAACTATGTTAAAGAATATGCTTGAATGTTACCATGATTATTTTACTAGTTAGGTCATGCTACTTTGGTCTTTTGGCCTTGAGGTGTATCACCTCTCGACTTAGTCCATCAACCTTAGGCTCTTGGTGAATCCTAACAACTGTAGAAACACTCATTTATTTTTTTATTTTTTCCTTCAGCCTCGTGGTCGCCTTTTCTAGGAAATGCAACCTTCTTCAGACTAGAGCTGGGCCCGTTGTACAAAATGTTCTGTGCTTCCTTATTGGAGTGATGTCCTGTTAACAGCCCTATTAGTTTGCTGATTTCCCCTTTTGTTGGCTCAGAATTAGTTTCTTCTGGGGTTTTAATTGAATTGTATAATTCTTCTGTTGGGCTTCCACACATGAGCTTTCAGGCCTTTCTTTCAGTTATGTTTATAGCCGTGAGCAATGCCTACAAGAATATCTTCTAGAGAATCCATCTCATGTGAGAGATTCCTCAATGTGATTTTAAACATAACATGTTACTGCACAAATTGATTATTTGTTGTAGGAGGACGTTCTGCCAACGACATTGTGTCATGGCTGACTAAGAAGACTGGACCACCAGCCAAGGTCATTGAGAGCCTGGAAGATGCTAAGGCTTTCGTTGACAGCGCTGATGTCACTATCGTTGGATTCTTCAAGGTAATCCTTGTTAACAAGCCCATTTTGTCTGTTATATTAGGAAACGTTGATTTCCTGAAACGAGTAGCGATTTTGCTACATTATATTATGTGTCTCAAAGGAAAAGTGATATTTAAACAGAGCAAAAGATAAATGATTGAATGTTTGAGTACAGACAAATATTTGATTTCTTACAATCAAGTGTTTGGTTGTTATGCAATGTTGATCATGGAGTGTGTCTCAGGGATAAATGATGCTAAAAACTTTTGCTTTACAATAAGTCATATATTTGAAGATTTTGAAAACTTTAATTGTATTTAAACATCTTATTGGGTTGATAAGATATATTTTTTGAAATGTTCAATATTTTCCTGGACAATTATTTCTATTAGGTAAGTATTTTCAAGTTGTTCCAAGTTTGAGTTGGTAGTTAAAATATTTATTTTTGAAAAGATCCCTAAACTAAGAGTTGTTGATAGGGATGTGAATAGTGGTAAAAGATTTTATGTCTTAATTTCAAACCTGCGTTACCCTCAATAGCTCCCATAGTAGGATTTCATAAGGTGGGCCCTTTTTTTTTATTCCAGTCAAATATATTGTTTCCACTGTATCAGTTTCCTAGTTCCATTCATTGTAATATAATCAAAGATATAACAAGGAAACATTATTTAACGTGGAGCGATACATGAAATAAACTTCATTACTCAGAATATCTTTTGTACAGAGGAAACTAGTGTTATCAGTTATCAGACTATTTATTGCTCTGTCTTGATATGTCCTGATTGCCGCCATCTTCTGTGAGAACAAGTATATTTGCTTTACAGATAAGCGGTGAATGCCGCCACCATGTTCAAACCTGTAAATTATGTTACCTTGGGAAACCGTCTGGAGTTCAAAGTCAACTACAATTGAATTCACTGAACTTTTATTCATGGGTCAGGGTCGAGAATATTGAGAACTTTGGAAAACATTTTTTGAGGGAATAATTTTTCAAAGATTTACAATTTCTTAGTAAATTTGTTTTAGGGCTAAAAATTTGAATAATAATGTTTTTTTTGTAGGATTGTTACAACTTTTCACATTGAGATTTCTATTGGCCTAAGCCTAAAACACCGTCTGTAAAATGTGTGTGATTTCTGATTTCTACAAAAAATTTATTTTTGTACTGAACTCAAGTATCTTTTTTTCTTTGTACAAGTAACGTATTCTGATTGATCGTACCGGTATACATTCATTTATTGTTTTTAGTTGTATAGCTTCAACTTATGAATAAAAATGATATTTCCCTCAAATTTCATTAACAGCTCTGTAGGGTACTACATGCAACAAACTATTGGTAGGTTGACAAATAAATATTCGTTCGTAGATCAACTTAGGCCTATTTGTACACTGTTTCAACTGAACCTGGTTGTTGGTCATTATTGTTTGAATGTGAAGTGGGAATTGGGTGTCACTTGACTGTCATTTGGCTACAAGCTGTATTGGATACTTTGGCACTTGTAAATGTTTTGTTCTATTTATAAAAGTACAATCACGATATTTACTTAGAACTGCCTGCATAAAATATTTGCAAATCCTAGTTTTTCAATGTTTTCACCATTTTAGCTAATTTCCCATATAGGGAATAAGCTATTACCGTAGTACTCATGTAAGACCTGGACCCGGGACCGATTTATTTTTTCGTTTTGAGGTCCCTAGAGGCCATAAACACCATTCGTTCAAATTCATATATATATATTTATGTGTCCGTTAGCACGATAACTCGAGCAATAATGATCCGATTTTGATGAAATTTGGTACAAATGTGTAAACCTACATTTATTCAAACGAGTTCGCGATCCAGCATGATCGGACTATGGGAACCGGGGTTTATGGGTTGTTTTATGGGGTAAAAATAGGGTTTTTCCATTTTTTACCCTAAAAACACAAAATTTACAATTTCTTTTCACACCATTTCGTAGAGCATAAAAAACCAAATAATTTAGTATATTGAAGCGTTATTGTGCGCCTAACGGTTACGGAGAAAATTCCAAAAAAACTGTAAATTTAAAATCCCCATGTTATTCTTATGGAGAATAAGTCAACTGTTGTAGTTTACTTGTTTATGAACATATGTTGATCGAATTTGGAAAATATATTAATTTCTTACTAAACTATTAACATAAAAAAAACACCTTTTTACCCTCCCTGTTGCAGCAAACCTAAGTACCGTACTCGTTAAACTAATTCTATTTCAATAGGGAATAAATATGATATTTATAAGGAGGCATTTTAGTGTAAATCCTATCAGGCTAATGGAAATTCGCTTAGTCTGCAGGTTTTCTGCGGCGGGGGTATTAAAATGTACAGTAGTTTACTGAGTTAAATAAAAAAAGAAAACTTAAGTAATAATCAAATACTGGGGATTCAAACATTATGTTTAGATGTTTAGATTAGGCAGAATGTTGTGTGATATAAATAAAAAAGTTTAATATAAAAACGCTTAATTTTATACACTTTTCTTTTGTAAATTGTTCACAACAAATAAAAAAAAAACTGGACATTGACATTATATACTGAACTTTGATACTTTGAACATTTTAAAGGACTTTTTAATAACTTTCCAATTTTTACATAAATCATGGGTGAACATTAATATGCTTACAAGCCATGTTTTACAGTACATCCGTAACATTTAAAAGACTCGATTCCAATTCAGGGCCCGAGTTGAACAGTATTAGTATATTTATACACAATTTCTAACAAATATCCTGTATATTTATTGCTAGTTATTTTACTAATAGCTCATTTTAATTTATAGCCAGAAGAAGTTCAAATCTGAATTCCTATTCTGAGGCAGAAAAGTTGGAAGATCCAGTAAAATTAAAATATCCATTGGAATATTTAAATTTCAAAATTTGGGTTGTTATTTGACACAGAAATAACATTCTTTTGTTACTTTGTTACACAGTGTAAAGTTTATGGAAACATTCTATCAATTAATTCCAAATATAATGAAGAATTTTAAATTACAAACTGTATAATTTGCAATAAAATTATGAAAATAATGATTTGCTTCATTATTGTTAGTGTTTTGTTGTGACTGATTGGTTAGGTATTTGTAAAGTGAATCACACATTAAATACTTAAAGTGATAGGCTACACAATTTTTTCTGCCTATATAGTACTAAATACATAGGCCTATTTGAAAGCTATAGATTCAAAATAATTCTTTTGAGTTAAAATATATTTAGCTTTCAAGCAAAATTTTTTTTATTTTTTATTCTGTGGATTTTTAAAATTAATGTCATGAATTTTGTAACTGAAAATTCTGCTTTTTATACTTTAACCACTAACAACATAAACAAGGATTCCTTTACATTTACAAATGTTTCCTTTAATTGTATCACAAAGCAATGATAAATGGCACATTGCCAAGCCAGATGTGTTGAAGGCTAAACCAAACAAAGTACAGTCATGAAAATTTCCTCATTTTCTATTTTAAGAATCCTTATTCATTTCTAAATACAAGGCCAGAAGGCCAGTAGAGTTATTTAAAAAAAAAGAAAGAAAGACCACTGTTGATAGTTTTAGGATTTGGAAGCCATTGTACAAATTTGACAGGTAGTTTTTAAAAATATTGACGGGAATGTGGTTCAGTGTTACTAAAATTGTTAAAAATCATCTTAATTTCATGGAAACCGCTCTTTGTATATATATATCTGCATGAAACTGAGTCAATGTAGGCCTAATTTGAAGTAAAATTCATTAGTCTACATAGCTGTACATAGTCACTGCAACTTTGGAAATTGTCCTATCTTAAAAATTAAATCATGTTTGTAGGTAAAGGCTCTCTCAGTCAGGTTAGTGAACCATGAAATAACGTACATGTTGGACGTTTACGATTAACAAATTCTTTATAGAATTAACTATAGTCACTGCAACTTTGGAAATTGTCCTATCTTAAAAATTAAATCATGTTTGTAGGTAAAGGCTCTCTCAGTCAGGTTAGTGAACCATGAAATAACGTACATGTTGGACGTTTACGATTAACAAATTCTTTGTAGAATTAACTAACACTCATATTTTAAACCTACTAACACACTTTTAAATAATGCACAATCTAAAGCCGGTTTTTTCTAGGTGCGAAACGCGGAGAGCCTCTTGTCTCAGGTAATTTGATGATACTGTTTTCCTAAAAAACGCAACGAAATGCTATGTTAAATTGCTATTCCACATTCCGCACCTAGGAAAACCCGGCTCAAGTTGATAATTTAACTAATATTGTGCGAAGAATTAATTTGTATTGTCTTGACAGGATGACAGCTCAGACTTGGCCAAGGCTTTCAACGGAGTGGCTGACGCATTGGACGACTATGTGTTTGCCATCACCTCCAACGCAGACTTTGCAAAGGAGCACGGCATCGAGGATGAACAAATTGTCCTGTTCAAGAAGGTAATCTTCTTGAATATCCTACCAATGTGTTGTGACCCTGGATTTCTTATCAGCATTTTGTCACATATAGTATCAATTAAAGTTCAGTAAAATCAAGTAGCATCAGAGGTGTTATTTTTTAATTTGATGGCCGTTGATTAAACCATTTCAATAGATAAGCAGCAGAATAAAATCAAGAACTTGTGAATGACAATATTAACTGCAAAATTGAAATTCCTTGACTTGAGTCTTGGAAGGATCATACGTGTGCAATTTAAATAACTTTTTGGTATATGATACCAGCTACGGTGTACAGCATTATCACATGTGTTTGATTTTATGGTATTTGATCATATGCAGGTAGAGTTTGATGCAAGATAGGATAGCCCAGAGTCTACTGTAAAACAAACTTGTCGAGGTCAAAATTGATCCGTCTTATTTTCTACTAATTCGTTTTAGATTTGGTTCATTTATGAAAGAGCAATAAGCTGACATTGTCTTGACCTCTTGTGTTTTTGTTTCAGTTTGATGATGGCAAGTCAGTGTACGAAGGCAAGGCTGAGGTGGACGCTGTCAAGAAGTTTGTACAGACAGAGTCCTTGCCTCTGGTGGTAGAGTTCAACCATGACACGGCCCAGAAGATCTTTGGCGGAGACATCAAGAGCCACCTGTTGTTGTTCCTCAGCAAGGCTGCTGGACACTACGAGGACCTGCTCGTCAACGCCAAGAATGTGGCCGCGCCCTTCAGAGACCAGGTACTTGGCTGTTATGTAGCCTGATCATTCATTTAGGTTTTTGGCATTTAGAAACACAAGTTGAGTTCATTACTATCTCCATTCTAAATATCTTAAGGAAGGTTCAAATAACCAAACATTTTTTGCAAGGAAATATAGAGTCTATTTGGCTAAGGTATAGGCTAACTTATTGCATTGCAACTTCATGAAGTCTTAGTTTGGTAAAGGCCTATTTGATATGTTACATCATTACAATTTACAATTAAAATATTTTAGTTTGGTAACAGTTTAAAGTGTATTGCATTTTTTCCTCGAAAATGCCTCTAGACGGGCAATAAAACGTAGCAGGGCTGTGTCATTGTGAAAACAACCGCAACCAAAATGCAGTGGCCGCATAATAGAACTGCATCATCAGCAATAAAACAGTGGCAGTCAGCATCTGAGCAACCTTATCTATTGGGCTACAAATGCGCCCTGACACTATCCCGAGATGACTTTTATTTTACAATTAGCCCTCTGGCACTGACCTATGTTGCCTGACAGCGAAGCATTTTGACAAGGAGAAAGCTGACCGGAATGTCTCTCATTTTTCCCTGTGCTGCCACAAGGGTAAAGTTCTTTGCCATTATTTAGGCCTATACCGTCACCATTCATACTTGACAAGTGTTTGATTCCGAGCAACAGGTACATAAGTTATTTTGCACTTTTTACTACACTTTTTCCATTTGCAGATCCTGTTTGTTTCCATCAACGCTGATGAGGAAGACCATGGAAGAATCCTTGAGTTCTTCGGCATGAAGAAGGACGAGGTTCCCTCAATGAGAATCATCAAGTTGGAAGAAGACATGGCCAAGTACAAACCTGCCAATGCGGAACTGGAGTCTGACAACATTAAGAGCTTTGTACAAGACTTCCTTGAAGGAAAACTCAAGGTTGGTTGAGACATGTGACTAGAATCCAAAAATTTAGGGATTATATGATTCATTTTTAAGTTGAGTTGTTTAAAACTTAAAGTGTAGCATTAAGATGGATTAATTTGAATATTTTCTGATTCCCACATTATCATATAGACTTGTATAGATCAGACTTATTAGGCAGTTGAGGCTACAACAAACAATTTGGAAGAATGTCCTAATGAGTCCATTAGAGGGAACAAAACAACCTAATAACATCATAAATGAGTTCAATCAGATTTCTGATAGGACCAAAGTTATTTAAAGCATACAATTTAGACTGAACAAAATTAGGCTCTATAGCTAAAAATGTATTGATTATTTTTTCCACAAATCAGAGTATATGTTATGCCTATAATTAAGTAAAATGTAAAATATTTTTAGCATATCAAGTTTGGTTGATTTTTTTCATATTTTTGTCCTGTAGTAGTACTGGTATAAGTATCTGAATTTAGGGGTGACAATTGTTTGTTTGTTGCAGCAACATCTGCTCAGCCAGGATCTGCCTGATGACTGGGACGCCAAGCCTGTCAAGACCCTGGTCGCCACCAACTTTGACGAGATTGTGTTCAACAAGGACAAGCTGGTCTTGGTAGAGTTCTATGCTCCTTGGTGTGGACACTGCAAGCAGCTCTCTCCCATCTACGATGATGTAAGTGGTACATTACAACTATGACTAAGGGGTTAATCCCAAAGAGGAAAGAATCACCTTCAACTTATCATTCACCTTAATTACTTAGACAGCCCTTTACAACAACTGTTTATTTTAAATTGTGAAGAAATAGGAATAAACTTAAGAATATTAAAGAAAGAAACGTTTGGGCACCCATCCCAGCTTTTTAGCTTTCATTATGTGGAATTAATTTCAAAAGAGATGGAGTTCATAGCTAAGAAAATTAGATCTATATGCTGATACATACCCAATAAAAGGTCTAAAAACATAACACTGATATTTCCTCCTAATATAGGACTATTCGGTCTACAATAAAGTGATTGTAGATTGTAGATGACCCAAGTAGGTTGTAGAGGAATGTCAGTTAAAAGCTGAAGATTGGAGTGAACTGAACTTGCAACATGTTTAGTGTGGTTGCGTGATGGCCAGCCATGACCGGTGGTGGGAACAGCTAATGCGCTGCTAGTTGAGTCCGCAAAAACTTTTAAATTTAGTTTCATCCAAATGAGAGGCATATTGTAGCATGTAAGCCTAATACGGTCCAGTCAATGTGGACGTTGTCTTACAAGAACCTGACAGATGAGCACTAAACAAAACTGCTAGCAGGCCGGAGGGAAAAAGCAAGGGTAAAAAACCTGGGTGTACCATAAAAATATCGCACCAAAGGTGTCAAACACAATTATGAGGTTAGGTTCCTTCCACAATGCTTCAGTACAGTAACCATCATTATTCTATTCTATTTCACTAATTCCAAAATCCCACACTACACTAAATTTGGAAAGTCCCCACCACCGATAAAATAATCAGATCTGAAAACGAATTTTACTGGTTTGAAGTATAAAATTTGCAAATTAAGCGGCAATCAGACACTACGTGTCCCGTGCGAGGCTGAGCTCACACTGAAGCAAGGCTGTTGGCATGGAAGGAAGATTCCTTCCCCGTCCCATTTGTGCCGGTTCCGTGGATCGAGATTTCTCACCCCACACGCTCCACCTGTTACTGTTCGCGAGAGTAAAGAAGTCCCCTGGGCTCCGGCCTATTCGTAGTTTGAAGGCGTTACGCTTGAACGTTTCGCGCGACAATTAGAGCCGTCTTCACTCTGCTCTGCTAGTTGTTAGGCTTAATTTTTGTATGTAATATCTGTTTGATTTTTATAAATCTATGTCATAATATTTTTTTGCATAGTCGAAGGAAACCCATTTTCTAGTGTTACTAAGGCAAATTAATAACCTTTCTACTTTATAATTTTTGTTTAGTTAAATATAATAATACCAATAAAGTACAATACAGTACAATAAAATCCTTTTTAACTCCAAGTTTGAAAGCATTAATCCCAAATAATTAGTTGATCCATGAATATACTTACGGTGAATGTATATTACCGGTACGTAATATAAGTACACTAGTACAGCAGTTTAAATAGCATTCATCAATAAACAGCTTATTATTTAAGTTGTTTATTTATTTCCTCTCTTCACTATGTATAGTAGCACCACGTTTTCTTAAATCCATAGCTTCAAGGACCTTCCAAAACAAAACGAACTCACTACGCGAACACACGAGACCGCACTATGAATCAAATGACGTGACCATATGATGATAATCCACTTACCAAAACAAAGATATGAGTAATTATGTTTACAACAGTTGTTTACAGACAGACATCGAGGCGAGGCGCTCAGATGCTTAGCGCCTGCAAATAGTGCGCAATACCCTCCAAACATAGCTGCATATTGCTCTGGCTCAAGGGACTTCTTTACTCTCGCGGACAGTACTAGAATAGTTAACGAATAAAATTAATATCGACATCGAATATCTACATGTTACTAGAAGAGTTAACTAGTAAAATGAATATTACACTAGTTACCCTGTACGTTTATGTGCTAATAAACATGATTTGATTTGATTTTTGATTTATAAAAATATCTACTTCCAAAGTAGAAAAATATCTTGTTGGATAAATTTATATTTGTGTTTTTCTTCAATTTTTCAGTTGGGAAAAGAGTTTGAGAGCAGAGACGATGTTGTGATTGCCAAGATTGACTCCACGGCCAACGAGCTTGAGCACACCAAGATCACCAGCTTCCCCACACTCAAGCTGTACACCAAGGGAGACAATAAGGTAAGTTTTGACTTTAATCAAACAGATTAATTTTAAAGTGTTTCAATTTGTAGTAGGTTTGATTTTTAAGCGTCGTTAGCTGTGTCGAAGATAATTTAAATTTACAATGGACTCCCTCTGGTTAACCTTTTCAGGAACTGTCAGAAGCTTTGAACAGTTGTGTATTAAAACCACACAACATATCTGCAATGTTAGTAAACTACAGTATTGTGACTGAACAATAAAAGGAATAAAAAATCAACAGTGCTAGACGAACACTTTTGATTACAAAGCAGCTTGCATGTGTGAGCACCTGAGTCATGCCTAAGCGGCTGTTGAAACCAACCATGAGTAAATAAATATCCACCTAATATCTGACAAAGTAGAAAATGAAGTCCTCCTGCTTCCTCACCTTGACCGGATAGCATTTAGACTTAAAACAAATATTTGTCAACAGATTTTAGTGAATTTAATTGTTGAATTTTTATTGCATAAAACTGACTGCTGTTTCACTATTGACTAGTAAAAGCCAAGCTCGTTCCATTTTTCATTGTCAGACAATATAGAAATTACAAGGCCAATGCCAATGCTATGTTCACGTAGCGTGTTACATGTTTCTAACTACATGTTCTACATCTACTGAGAGTTTGTGTTTGTTCACAGGCTATTGAGTACAGTGGAGAGAGAACATTAAAGGGACTGACTGCTTTCATCAACAGTGGTGGAGCGGAGGGTGCTCCAGGCCAGGTAACTATCATTACTGCTTACCTTCAACTAACATATAGATTCAAGGATTTGATTTTACAATTACCACAAATAAATAATAGGTCATAGCTTATGGCGTCAATCCTATTACAGTTGATGTACAGATGATATGCGTCTATGTAAACGTAAACCTAACTATTTTGTTTTATTACTGTCATCCATACTGTGGGCAATAGTAGATCAAATATTGACAATTAAGTATTTTTACAATAAGCTGTGCCATTAATTTATAAAAGTCATTTTTCTATGTTCACAATATGCACCCTTGTTTGTTGTTCATATCAGAATGTCTTTATGGCTTCGGTTTAGATATTTCATGTCCTCTGTTAACTGTGTATTGTAACTTAACTTTGTCTTGCTGCATTAGATCTATTCGGAGTGGAAATTGGATTAAAAAAGGATGACATTTATTTGTAATATGCTATTCCAAAGGCTTTAGTAATCAGATAAACCATAAAATTATTGAGTGAGATGTATTAACTTCTAATATTATCACACATTTTGGAAAACTAAAATTACATTGTAATGCTACAATTATTGTAATGATGAACATCTAGTGAGTTGTGTTGAGACTTTGCAAGGTTGGTAGGCACAAATTTTAGCGAAAAACAGTTGGATTCTAAAGGTTCTACTGTAATGTGCTGTTAGTAAAAAATGTAATGTTGTTCCAGGCTGAGGCTGAGGAGGAGGATGAAGACGACGACCTTCCCAAGAAGGACGAGCTGTAAGCAGCTCTGCCAGCGACTGCCTGAGACTAAACATACTTGTACATAAACTTACAGAACGTTGTTGTGGTTGTGTTAAATTTGGACTCGAGAGTGACGGATGACTCCCAACATTTAGTTTCGGTTGCAACGAACGATCGTTCCGAGAAGGATGTACAGGATACTCCATAGTTCCAAATAATTCATTCCAATGTTTAGGATAACCGTGAATTTTTAAAAATTATATTTTTTCATACAGTTATAATTGTACTCCAAACTATTTTTATCGTGTGGGTGTGTGAGCGTTTGTCTTGGTACACTTCTAATTTTGTAAAAAGCACAAGTTAACTAGACCAGGGTGATCGGTTCGAAGAGGTCTGTAGGTTTATTTTGTTTTGTGTGATCTAAAAGGTCGGTTATTTATGTAGTACAAATTTGAGTGACATCACGAATTATTTGTACCTGCTTGGAAGAATTGAGATTCTTGATTTTTAGTTTTTGTAGTTTACGCATGGTTTTCTTATGAATGTCCCACTGTTTTGTAACACTTAGCAGGGTGTTGTATTTATTCCTAATTGTCTTCCGCAGAAAAATATATTTTAAGATTATTTTACTCGTGAAGTTGATAATTGCATGTTTCGTTACTGTACAATTTCATTCCTACAGACCTCTACTCAAGATGGTGCATTTCGATTGAGTAGAATATTTTTTACTTATTAATTTATAGTTTTGTATTTCAGTATAATTAATGTTTTGGATTATATTCTGTAATAATGTTAATGCCATAAAGATTTCGAGATCTGTTTTACTGTTATAAATAGTTTATGGTTTTGTTAATAACTTAAATACATCAAAAACTGTGATGCTGTATCCAAATAATTTCTGAAATAAAATCTTTTTTTAATTAAGTTCTGATTGTTTTACTTTCAGAAAACCCGTAGAATGTTGTAGTATACAATAGTAGTACTAATTATAATCAGGCTAGTCTTTACTCATTCAAGTTTAATTGGTAAAGATATAAAGAATAAAAGAAAGTAATATATGGAGTTTAGTATTTCAAATTTAATATCTAGATATTAGTGGTGGTATTGGACATTGGTGCACTTTTAACATACACTATTGTAGACCAACCTACATAATATACCCTACTATTAGGTTCCATGGTCAATAAATATGCTGCGATAATTTATTGTGCTTATATTTAGCACATATTTTCACTCAAAAATAAACTGATAACATTTCTTTGCTTTGGATACACAATTAGATATCAGCCATAGGTCAAAAGTAGCTAAAATTGCCGACAAAATGTGCAATTTTAAAAGAATACACCCTGTCAAATTACACCCCAGTCCACTATTGATTACAGAAGATGCATCTCTTCCATCAAAATGTGAGGACCATGATGTGATTTCAACTCCTGATTTACTGAGCTGTCTCCAGGGCAAAGAGAGACGGTGAATTTGACTCTCGGCTTGGGATGTCTTTAAAGATCTAATAATCATAAATCAACAACTCTTAACTTTAAAAGCAGAACCAAAGCCCTTGCCATTCAGGTTTGTCACTTAGCTGCACATGTAGATGTAAGGCTATTTTTCACTAGCTAAAGCTAAACATATTCTTTTGATTTGTTGGTTGAATTTGACATAAACCAACATTGACGCTGAAAGAGATAATTACTGGATTGGGGAAATTAAACAGCAAAGAATGATTGAATTGTTTGATCAGATTTTAATGTTAAATAATTACAAATGGATACTTCAGTAATTCACTACCAAATTGCAATATTATTTAGTATATTGCACACCTCCGACCGTTCTTAAATGGTAGTCAACCTTTAAACTTTGTAACAGCTAAACAATGAATTTAGATACTTTTAAGTTGTTAGTTGTACATATTTTCAAGAATAATACTGAAATAACAGTTAATTTTTTTGAAATATGAGATAACATTTCAGGTCACCTATCTTTACTTTAGGAATTGTTGCCTTCCTCATACAGTTTTCAAAACCTAATAAAACTAACTTAACATACCATGCATTTGGCCCCAAAACTTTTGTCATAAAACCGATTACCATATCCTTTCCTTTGACCATCAATAAACACGTTGAAGGGGAAAACCAAGTAATTTAGTTATAGGAACTTTGAGCTATTATTGAGGATAATTTAGTCAATCTGTTTGGGATGCATTGTACAACGTCCAAGTGTCATGATGTCCAATGATATAAGTCTATGTCACGACTTCCGAAATATAATTCTTGAGATGTCTCACAACGTCCGATATAAAATATTGGACTGTTGCATAACTTCCAAATCTCATCATGTCCAAAAGTACAGTAACTGCAATAAACAAAGACCTTCTACAAGCTCTGGACGTCATTAGATTGGTCACAGCGCACGCACTTTACACCTTTAAAAAAGTTGCAGTTGCACCACGTCCAAAGCCGCTGCCGGTTGCACGACATCCAATAACTCAGCGCTGTCCCACGACGTCCAGAGCGCCTGCACACTGTGAAAACTGTTTTACCATCATTAGTGAATAATAACCCAAAGGAGCTCTGGACGTCTTCCGATAGCGCTGAGCTAATGGACGTCGTACAACTCTGGCAGCGGCTTTGGACGTAGTGCTACTGCTAAGTTTTTAATAGTACGATGTGCGCTGTCGCACGATCCCCAGTGACATAATGTCCAAAGCTTGTATAAAGAATAATGTTTCTTGCAATTACTGTTCTTTCGGACGTCATGAAACAGTCAAATAGTTTATATTGGATGTCGAGAGACAGCTCACAAACTATATTTTGGACCACACTCCCTCTGTTTGAAGTGATATATACATAAAAATATACTGTATACATTATTCTTATGATGAGCATTTTTATATATATGACATACATATGACAAGATGAAACAGTGACCGTGTTCCTTTAGAGTGCCTTATAAATTTGTTTTGCTGAATAATTTGTCAATTATTTTACAAGGTAAATGTAGATATATGACATGTATGTTACATTGTCAAATAGCTGTTACCAGAAACGTTTTATCGTACAAGAACACAGAAAAGAAATCCCTTAACTTACTTAGACCAACGCAACCCAAAATTTCCAGATAATTCTTATTTCACCTATTGCATACTTAACTTTTTCATTTTCAATAAGTTTTTGCAAATAAAAAGTTTATTAGAGAAACATACTATTATTAAACTCCTTTATAAAAATAAATACAGTATCCTACGAGTAAATAAAAGTGTTTGTCAATATATAACATTGATAAAAACATATAGAATTAATAAATTAATAGTTTTACTTAAAACTACTTCTTAGCACTAGATATACAGGGTGAGTTTCTACTTAGCGTGTTAACTTCTCCAGTAGGTTCTACTCACTAAAAGGAACAAAAAAGGTCCTATAAACCCATGTCCGGTTTTCAACCGTTTGGCTGTAATAGGGGATTTTGTGTTTTTCTTATTTTATTAGACTTTGCTCCACAATTTATGTAATAAAAAACTTAACCAATTACTTTAGAGAGTTATAGTTAAAATCATTGGAAAGAATATTAAATTTGCTATAAATTAAAGGTTTCATTCAACAATTATACCATTACATAGTCCACGTTATATCCAAAATAAAGTAAAAATGTCATTAAATTAATTAATTACGAAAATTTTCATGAGCCCACTTTGATACATAAACCTGCATTTATGCAATGTTGAAATGCATAAAAAACTTGGTCATTCAATAATCTTTCAAATGATCTGCTATTCAATACTATTATTGATATAAACCACTGAGAAATTACTAATAAACTACAATAAAACACGGTTTACAGATTTTGTTTTTGCACAGTTTTACTGTTGATAATAATTACTGTATACTCCATGTTGTATTTTATTGAACAATCTGATAAGATTTGTACATTATTTTAACTTTTAAATATTTATTAAAATGATCTGAATTAATAAAATGTATAAACTCAAGGATTTTCACATTTTCAAAGATGTAGTGTGTTTGATTCTTAAATGCTGTATAATTAGTTTTACCTTGTGCTTGATTAAGTCAGCTTTTATTGATTTGTCATCTATAGCTAGATAACTCAGCTGCTTAAACATACCTTGTTGAGTAATTTGCTGTTTTAACTTTATATTTCCAAGTCAATTAAGAGTTTTTCAACATTTATTAAACTATGGAGCCTTTTACCAATCAAGAGTATGCCAACATGATGAATACAGTAATTATTGTTAACAGTAAAAACTGTGTCAAAACAAAATCTGTAGACCATGTTTTATTGTAGTTTATTAGTAATTTATCAGTGGTTTATATCAATAATAGTATTGAATAGCATATCATTTGAAAGATTATTAAATGGCCAAGTTTTTTATGCATTTCAACATTGCATAGATGAAGGTTTATGTATCAAAGTGGGCTCATGAAAATTATTGTAATTAATTAATTTAATGACATTTTTACTTTATTTTGGATATAACGTGGACTATGTAATGGCATAATTCTTGAATGAAACCTTTGATTTATAGCAAATTTAATATTCTTTCCAATGATTTTAACTATAACTCTCTAAAGTAATTGGTTAAGTTTTTATTACATAAATTGTGGAGCAAAGTCTAATAAAATAAGAAAAACACAAAATCCCCTATTACAGCCAAACGGTTGAAAATCGGACATGGGTTTATAGGAACTTTTTTGTTCCTTTTAGTGAGTAGAACCTACTGGCGAAGTTAACACGGTCAGTAGAAACTCACCCTGTATACAGGGTGATTGATATAAGTGTGCCAGCCGTTTTATTCGAAAACTATAAGAGTTATCAAAAAAAGTTAAATAGTAAGTGCCTTGGATTTTTTATTTAAAAAATTTTAGTCGAGTCAAAAAAATTATTTAAGCCGCCATTTTTCTAATATGGCCGCCAACTTTGATTTTCCTTATGGAACACCCTGTATTTTATGATGTATTCTGGTAGAAAATGTAATTTTAAGACGATTTTACTCTTGTAATTTTTTTCATAAACCTAACCGTTTCAAAGATAATAATGGTTAAAGTTTTGAAATTTCTGCATGAGAAAGAGTTTCGATAAAGGCCTAAGCAAGCATGCCAGCTGTTTTGTTCGAAAACCATTCAAAATTTCACAACTTAAACCATTATTATCTTTGAAACGGTTAGGTTTATGAAAAAAATTACAAGAGTAAAATCGTCTTAAAATTACATTTTCTACTAGTATACATCATGAAATACAGGGTGTTCCATAAGAAAAATCAAAGTTGGTGGCCATATTGGAAAAATGGCGGCAAAAATAATGTTTTTGACTTGACTAAAATTTTTTAAATAAAAAATCCACGGCACTTACCATTTAACTTTTTTTGATATCTCTTATGGTTTTCGAATAAAACGGTTGGCACACTTATATCAATCACCCTGTATACAGGGTGAGTTTCTACTGACCGTGTTAACTTCGCCAGTGGGTTCTACTCACTAAAAGGAACAAAAAAGTTCCTATAAGCCCATGTCCGATTTTCGACCGTTTGGCTGTTTTGGGGGATTTTGTGTTTTTCTTATTTTATTAGACTTTGCTCCACAATTTATGTAATATAAACTTAACCAATTACTTTAGAGAGTTATAGTTAAAATCATTGGAAAGAACATTAAATTTGCTATAAATCAAAGGTTTCATTCAACAATTATACCATTACATAGTCCACGTTATAACCAAAATAAAGTAAAAATGTCATTAAATTAATTAATTACGATAATTTTCATGGGCCTCCTTTGATACATAAACCTGCATTTATGCAATGTTGAAATGCATAAAAAACTTGGCATTTTAATAATCTTTCAAATGATATGCTATTCAATACTATTATTGATATAAACCAGTGAGAAATTACTAATAAAATACAATAAAACACG